TATACTGTGTACTATTGTACTGTACTATTAAACTGTAACAAGGTACTGTGCTCGTCAGTGAGGGAAGGGAGGAAAAAGAATTGAACCGTGTGATAGGTTGCTCTGTGACTCAAATTTCAACACTTGTAGTAGAATAGTAACCTTATAGTTTCACGTCCAGTTGTGACGAGAAATCCCGGGTGAAAAAGGGTTGAACGAGGTGTGATGTCTTGTGGGCGACCACCTTTCGATGAACAAATTGACGCTAAAGCAAAAATTGCTTATACTCGAAAAATTACTCATTATCTAGGGAACATGCCTGGTGTCGGACAGCAGAGGTGTTGACTGCCAACTGCGGCACATTGGAAGTCGTTGCCGCAGCTTACTGACGAAGCACATGAAGTCACAGGTCGTTCCACGTTCACTTGTGCTTCGCCCGAATATTGTGGCGATCCTCTAGAGCAAGCTGAAACGTCCATCAATCCTTGAATGAAGCGAATATTGGTTACTATACACTTACTGTCTCTGCAGTACGATTCGCAGTGCTGAATGGTCCTGAAATTGTTCGCCGAGTGATACTGCGCCTCGGAGGCGTGTGGATCCCACATGAACTGTTGGCACGTGCCTTAAAAACAGTACATCAAGGATGGTAAACAATACATCACAGTTCAGACGGCACCTGTGACAGAATTGTACCACCATCGGGGTTCCGTTGGATTTGGCCCAGTGACTTGGGGCTGGGTGCAAGCAAGAGCTGGAAAGAGATGAATGTGCTGTGGAATTCCCAACCCTAAAAGTATCCAGACCTCGACTGGGGCAGCAGACACCGTTCGCTGTCGGAGCATATTGCGACACCGGGGATTTGCTTCGCTAATCGTGACTGATTTCATGTTCAGCAATAACCTGTGAAGACTGAGTAACGATTGTCCGCCGAAGGCATTTCGAACAAGTTCAGCATTGTTCACATATGGAAGCGTAGTTGGGCTTCCAGAATCTGGGGAAGGACCATGCGGAATCTGGCGAAGTGGCCTGTCGCAATCCAGGCGCGGCGGTCCAGTATGGGTTATGATTTCGGTCCTATTCGCTGCGGATGCTGGGGCGTTCCTGGGGAATGGCTGACTACGACGCGGCGCCAGCAGCTTTTCAGCAAATGTGATTGCCCGCAGGAATCCACAACCGGTGATGACAAGGCGCTGTGGCAAGGGGCGAAATGGCCGATGCCGGCTTTGCCCTAGGAAGTAACGCATGGAGTATCTTTCAGCTATGACTACTCAAAAGAGTCGGAGCCGCGTTGCCATTATATCCTTCTCATGGGCGCGTCCCTCTTTCTGCATTCTTTCTTGGCTAGGAGCTCCAGTGAGAAGGACAGAATTGTAAGCTCGGCTCCGCCCATGAAAAGAACGAGCAATGCACTTCTGAACATAGTTTTAGTTGTTCTGGATTCGCAAAGGTTGGAACATTGTAGATGGTTTTGCCGCGCCGACGGAAGAAACAGCCATGACCTTGTAAATTTGCGGAACTTGAGAAGCTTTTTGGTCTTGATGTTCAACTATTTAACTATATTACTGTTCATCCTGAAAAGTCTCAAACCGAACATGAGGACTGGTGTGAATACAGTCGTAGACGTCTCCAATGAACTCTCCAGACGACGGCCAGATACAAGCTCCACCTCCATGTAGACCGACGACGGGCTCGACAGAGGCCGATGATCCCACTGTGCAGCCGACGGGAAGTGAACCAGAAGCTGGGTTAGGGTCGTTTAGTGCTGAAGACAAAAGATTAGCATCGATTGCTGCAAAGAGTTGAAATAGTGACTCCACCTACCTATCTTGAATCCAGCCCCCTCGGGAAGTGGGCAGACAAAATAGAAGCGGTGCACTGGCTCCTGAGCTGCGATCTTGCAACGAAATACACACCCATCCGTCACGAGTCTCTCGAGCAACGTGTGTCTCTTCTGAAGTGTTTCGATTCACAAAACCTCCAGCTAGACATAATTTCAGATCACATACCTGGACATCGACATGTGCCGATGCTACTGTCCATCCGGCACTTGGCTCCAGGCCATACCGCCTCGCACTGTATGTCGTAGGTGCAGCCCGGCTGGTTAGGGTTCACCTCTGAGTAGTGGATCATTGATTGTATACTAATCATTGGTGGGCGAATAATCATGGGTCACAGTATTCTCTACAGGCACTATTTATAAGAACGCGTTTGTACTTCGCGACTCAGGCGATTTAGTCACGCGGCTTGGAAATCGCGCCATTGATTCGACCACGCTTTGCCTCAAATCGTTATGACAACGGTCGTAAGAATTTCTAGGCACAGTTCGGCGAGGGGGGGGCATTTAACACTTTCGCTGCTTCACTAGTTCCGGTCTGGAAGTCTCACTATGGTGAAATCTGTGGACGCTTGTGGAGTTGGAACAAGCTCTTCCATCCACCATGGTGAAACTTCTCAAGTCTTGTAAGCCCGCGTCTCTTTAAACCCTGCCTTAGCCCGGCTCTGTAGATGGGTCGACATGTAGATGGGAAGCACCAAAAGTGCAAATTGACATGCCCTTCCCTCTCATTGGTCGCCGAACTGCCCTCATTTTCTATTTGTGGCACAGTGAACCAGGGTACAGCATCGTTGGTGGAACCCAGAGGGGTCCACTTTCCGCTTGGGACGAGGGTCGTTGAGAAATTGCGACCACCCGTTGGAAAAAGTTTTTCCAGTTGCCGGTTTTGAGTGTGTTACCCCCTTTTTGTTCAGCCAGAGAAAAAATTCTCAAAATGGAATGTGAGAAGCGGTAGGTAGGTTTTGGGGGAGATGGGAAGGGTCGCCTCGAGAACCTTTTCTAGGTGGGGGGGGTCGTACCAACGTTCCTCGAGAGGGGGGGGGGTCGCACTGACTGCGAGATGTTCTACTTCAAGGATGCTGTACCCTGACGTGAACAACTTTGCAGCTACAGCGGTCCAAGATATTCCAAGATCGTGATTCAATCGTTCCCTAAGACGCGAAGTATGAACTTGTGGTGCTACAGTCCTCACCCTCATCATTGCGGACCGGTGGGGCGTGTCAGCCAGTATGAGTGTGCACACTGTTGAAGCCGTTCTCAGCCTTTTTTTGAAACGCGTATGCGACAAAAAGTGGTAGAAAACGAGTAATACGAAGGATATAATACAGTAATGTCACTTGCCCGCTTCAACAACTGGTGCAGAACGACTTTGGCACTGCGCCAAACGCAAGCGCGACATGCCGCCCACCGTCGCAAGATGAGGCCTGTATGTGCTTTCATCATGGAGCTTACATGAAGCCAAGGATGGTCCCTGCTATAGCGCCTGGGCCCTATGAGGACGATGCGCTCTGACCCACAATACTACATACTCCGACTGGTTGGTGCACTTCATTTATCAGTCTGCTATGTTCTGGCTTCAGGTTTCACTCAGACTACCTTAGTGTTGTACAAAACCAGTATGTGAATAGCAGCAAGTCCCACATGGTACTTTGCTACTGAACCACTATTTAATTGAGATTAACTAGATCACTGACTTTCGTAGCAGTAGCTCTCCCATCATTGATGTAGGGCTAAGACTAAGTGCAACTCCTCACCGGAACAGTACATTCCCTGAATTCGGCAAAAAATTTTCAAACCATTTTTGATGAACCCTAGAAGTGCCTAGATCTTGATTAAATGAAAAAGCTCACTCCCAAGCAGTCGGTGTTATACTGGCAAAGCGTCTCCAACACGACCACTTCCTGAAAGGTAAAAAAGTGATTCAAACAGTAAATTTTTCATAAGCATCAGCCCCCGTCAGACAACTAGTTCCTTACAAAAAAACACAGGTAAATTCAAACCGTAACAGAAAGCCCTTGCAGAAACGGTTCGACTGTGGGGTCAACACAGCCTTTGCCATCCTCGTAGTATGTGCCGTAGCCACATCCTTCAGCATCAACACTGATTCGTTTGGCATCCAGAAAGGCTTGGCGTCTGACGATCACCCTGAAAACCATTTTTACGTCACTCTTATGTATCGACAGTTGACTTATTGAGCACTACTCTGAATCAGTGATACAGTCATAGCAACGGATGGCTATCCGGGTGTGTGGGATTCCTATCCAGCTTGGAAGTAGAGTGACATCTCGCAACGGTGGCGAAATTCCGATAGCCAAACACGTGTTCGACCAGCACCAACCCTAAGACCACCTCCAACAGGAGAAGTCGCATAAATCTGGAAAGTGTGGAAAGTTCACAAAAGATATCGGAGAAACTGATCAAAACGACCCGAACGCCCTTAAATCGCGCACATAAGTCCGCTATTAGATGCAGCACAAGGAGTGGGCGCTTCTGGCTGATATAGAAGGGACTCATATAGTGGAACATTCAATCAAATCGGTGCTATCTTATTATGAAAGCTGCAGTTGTCCCAGAACGACAAAATCGCATCGAAAGCGCAGTCGCAGCTATATTCAAATGAAGTACGAAGCCACATCTACCGCACCTGTAAGACAGCCCGCCCGTAGTACATGTTGTCGTCCTTCCTGGGCAGATAAATTAGTTCAGCCCTCCCATGCTAGATACTGCCTCACCTCTGCGACTCTCCTCAGCGAACGCGAGGAAGCTAGAACCGCTCAAAGTTCTAGTTCTAACGCCTGCTCAGTTGGACCGCCTCACTAGCTAGCTGCCCTCTGACGGAGAGCCGCTCAGTTGTTCCTTGTTGGGACGGCAGTCATTAATCGGAACTGCATGTATTTTTTGCTGACCGCGCTCGTGCTCGTAAATAATTCTGCTCTCCTTCATCACATTTTATTCATTGGGAGCACGTACAGTCAACAGGCAACGGCCACCTCGTAAGGTAAAACGCGTAAAAATCACGAATGATGCAATTTCTGTGGTGCAAAAGCTCGACGCACTTCACTACACTAAAACATGCTCGCTACCGTAACCCTAAGTTCGGACGCCGGCTTTTTAAATGTTTCCTTTTCTTTTCAAGAGTTTTTCCTCTATGTTTCTGTTGTTTTTTGTTTTCTTTTCTTCGCATTCGATGATATCCACTACTGGGAGATGTGACAAAGTGATTTGTGAGCCAGGGCTTGCACAGAGACCGCAGGGAGGTGTGACTGTCAGGGCGCGATTTTGTTTATGGTGTTCTTGAGGGCTCTTGTTTCTTTTTTCCTTCATTGAGGAATTACTTATCAGCTACTGTTTCATAATTGATCAGCAATTACCCTTGACACTTTTATCGCGGGAGCTGTCTTTAAGGATTTGGAGCGTAAGTCTGCGTGGCTCCGCGCGTGCGACCACTGAACGGGGCGTTTTAAGTGTGACCCATACGTTATTTGGAAAAAAATCGACTCGGAAGGGACACCTCCGCCTGATGTGATCATAATGGTAACAAACAGTGATAACAAGAGATTGGATAACAGAAGTTTGGGGCGAACAGTAGTAACGGAAGGCTCTATGTGAAGAAAATCCAGTAAAGTATTCTAAAAACCCCTTCTATTCTTTGAATTATTTTGTTGTGATAACTGCTATTTGACGACGCACCCACCCCGAAAGTTAACACCAGAATGCTGAGTTGTGGACAAAAGCCAAGTCAGGTCGCACTCCTGCTCATAACTGAGCCAATGATAAGATATACACTTATCTTGTGATAAGTTTCCTATTTGCCAATCTTGAAGACAATCATGAAACGTTAGCTTTGCCAACACTTGCCCGTTTGTAAACGGATAGAGGAGACATTAGTGAAACGGGTTCACTATTGGTGACAGTGAAGAATAGGAGAATCGGAGAGGCCCCAGGTTTCAACTTCAAGCTTCTCTACCAGGCATTACTCACATTTTCCTTGTTTTCTATCTCTATCTCAAGGACAATTTGGATGTTCACCTAGTACGACGGTCCTGCCATGTGCAAGGCGAACTAATGCGCAGCTGCAGTAGCGTGCCAGTTTCTCCATTCAAAAGTGTGCGTGGCGGGGATGGAATGTATGATACCCCGCTGCCATTTCTGCATTCCGCTCGCGCTGCCCTTCAGGTGTAGCACTTGCGTCAATTCGAAAAACCTGCCGCGAACACGCGCTCAGCGGTAACAACTAGAAGTGAAAGAACGCAGACAAGTAGCGCGGTTGGCTATGGTTAGTCATGTGGATGACCGCGAGGCAACGCGCGTCGAAGTGAGGAAACGGCACTCGGATAACATCATCCTCCCAGCTCCGTTCCCACTCACTTTCGATCAGAGAAAGAGACGTCTAACTTCGCTGTAGACCCATTCTCTCCACTTACGGCACGTACCAGGATCCACGAAGGTGAGTGTACAGTTTGTCTTCAATCCCTCCTAAAAGGCAATTTTCCTGATCCATACATTGACCGAATCTTGAGCTGCTTCTGCTGCTCAACCACCTTGTGAATGTGGTAGAAGCAGGTGTTAATAGTGCTCGTTTTCGTCAGCTCAACCTCAACTCTCCATAATTCAACAAAAATAAAGTGAGCACAAAACATAAGCTTGCTATATCAAATAGCGTGAAATTCTCTTCCAAATGGTACAGAATGCACTTGTAAAAATTTAATCATTCTCAGGAACTCTATTTTGGAACGCCCTCGATTTCGGTGCAACTCTAAACAGACGTCGGCCAAGTTGTTTTGATCTTTCTCGATTAACCAGTCACTACACTCACAATGGTAGTTCTCACAAATCCTTAGAATAGTTTTAGTACTCGAAACATGAAAAAGTCTTTTTAACTGAACAGAGTAATGGGGAAAAGGCCGAGAAACACAAAACGGTCAAGCGGAATACAAAAGAAACGAATCGGTAAGATTATGAGTTCTTTCAAGCAACTTCAAAATTTCCGAATACATATCT